ATATACAAAATTGCAACAATGTAATATACAGAGCTTATCAGATTTATCAGTGATAAAAAAACAAATAACTAATTCTTTATTTTATCTTACAGGCAGACAACTTGACAGTGAAATGCATCTTCTTGTGAAAGTTGTTCTTCATGTTATAAATTTTTTTTTAGTTTTTCTTAATGAATTAAAAATATACAGAATAGGCTCATGATTGCACCAGTAGCACATTAGAAAAATTGTTAGAACTATGCATAGTAGTAATATTTTTAATATCTAGCCTAATTTGTAAATAATACATTTCTTAACAAATGAAGATATTAAGTACTTGGTCAGAAAGAAGGAGGAGATTACAAATGATGATAATGACTTCAATGCTACATCTTATATTTGCAATTGTCATAGTTTTTAATCATAACAATTATCATGCAAACATGTGTTTGCTGTATTAACAAACAATCATATTTCTGATGAAGAAGGGATAATCAACAACTATCTGTAGAATTAGACTTTTCTAATTCTTACATTTGATTTTCTGCAAATCAAACAAATAATGATAATAAAGAAGTTTAATATGCGAAATTGCAAAAGAGCTTGCTACAATTGCTAATAAATGGAAAGATATGAAAGAAGAAGACATTTACAATCTTTGAATAGCTCTTCAGCAAGCCACACAAATGAAAAGATCAATAATCACAAGGTTAGAATCTGTTACTTGAGCTACTAATAATAATGAATTTGTTTATATAGCACCAAATGCAAAAATTGTAAGACAAAATAAGTATTAATTTTTTGTATTTTATTTGCTTAAATGCATATGCGCATAAAAAAAAATAAATAAAAAAAAATAAAAAATAAATAAAAAAAGGTTTTATAATTTAGCACACCTGCGTTGTAACGCACCTACCCTGATCGACCAATCAGATTGTAAGATCAGGTGTAATGTGAAATCGAAAAAAATAGCAATGTTTTGAAAAAATCGCTTGTAACTCATAATTTTGCTTATGAAACCACCTTTTGCATCCTAACAAAAAAAATTCCTTGCAAAATTTTGAGTATAACTAACATACACCTACAATCTAACCTAACCCTACATTAGTGTTAACCCTTACCCTAAATTAATGCATTGTTGGTTTGTTTTGATTTCACATTACACCAGATCTTATGGGGTGCATCACAATGCAAGTGCACTAAATTATAAAATTCTAAAAAAAAATAAAAAATAAATAAAAAAAAATAAAAAATAAATAAAAAAAAAATAAAAATAAATAAAAAAAAATAAAAAATAAATAAAAAAAAAATAAAAAATAAATTAAAATAAAAAATAAATTATGATCTGTAAGTGACTTGAAATTTTTTCATGTATGATATATAAAAAAAGCTTTAGCGATTAATTAAGTATCTTGCTGTATTTGTTTATTATTTAATGTTTAAATTTAATAAGATAAAAGTGTTTGCGTAGCATTCAGTAAGAACTTAAACCTTCATTTATGAAAAATCCAGATTATCGTACTGGATATGTACTAATAAAACTATATAAATACAAACTCTTCGTTATAAATTATTGTACAAATTATTGTATATGAAGCTTTTTTTTGTTTTATCGTTAATCGTTATTTTTTTTTATTATTAGTTTTAATTATCGTTAATTTTATTATTATTATTTTTTTTTATTAAAATATAATAAAATAAAATAAAATAAAATAAAATTTTTTTTTATTATCGTTATTTTATTTTTTTGGCGACGTAATTTATTTTGTCCAATCAGAGGCAATATTCACTGCTCCAATCAGAAGTGGTGGGGAAATTAGGGCTCCCCAAAAGATGAAGCCACTGGTGATTATATTTTAGTTATGCAATACGCACCAATGGGATCATTACGTCAGAATCTTACGTTGTTGCACAAATAAAGTGGAAAAAATTAGAAATATTATCTTATATTACTCAATTGATTCATTCATTCGCATGATATCATTCATTGTGATTTACATAGTCGTAATATATTACAAAAAAATTTATAAATGCTTATATTGGTGATTTAGGTTTTGCAAGATCAACCAATAATTCATTAAACACAAAATCTAGAGGGTGCTGCCATATATTACACATGAAGTATTGCAGGAAGCACATTCACCAAAGCATTAGATATTTATTCTTTTGGAATTATTATGTGGGAAACTTCTTCATAAAATGTTGTATATCCTGAGCATGAAAATAGTCATCACGATAATTCAAGCTTGGCAATAGAAATTTGTAATGGATCAAGACCAACTATTCCTAAAGGTAAGACTTATTTTTATATAGATCTTTTAAGAAAATGTTGGGACAATGATCCAAAAAATTGTCCAACTGCTCTAGAAATTTATGAAATTATTATTAACTGGAGAAATAATGCTAAATTCTTATCAGAAATGTGATAGGAGACTGCAATAAAAGATATTAATTTTAATATTGATGGTAATACAATTCATAGTAGCCAATTCATTAATTATATTAATCAGAAATCGACTAAACCAGTTAACATAACTAAAATTATTTTAAATAATAATATTTCTATTGAATCTATTGAAAATTTATTTAATAAAGTTATTTAATAATTTATTTTATATATAAATTTATGTAGAACTATAAATATGTTGTTTACTTTTTTACAACGTGAAAGGTGTTTGAATATAGTTAATGTATAGGATTAATTATCAATGTTTTATCTAGTTGCATTACGACGCATTTGAGTAATTTAATATTTAAATATTTGACTATATTATAAAATGCTATTTTTTTTTTTGACATTTCTTATTGTAAAATCATATGGATAACATCTAACCCATCTTCCCGTAAAAAGATGGGTTAGACGTTATCTATATGATTTTACAATAAGAAATGTCAAAAAAAAAACGGTACATAACGAACTTCAAAGTCTAGTCAAATACTGAAATTACACAAATGCAAAGTAATGATATGTAAAATAATCTGAAATATCCATATTATTAACATATTATTGAAAAGGTTGCTTAAATGTTACTTTAGAGACTGTGTAAATAACTCCAAGGTTTGAAATGACTTTGTTACTATTCAGACTGAGGTTATCAGACGGAAGCTATGTGAAAACTAAACATAATGTCATGTTATGTTATGCTTTATGGTTAATTCATGTCAATTATTAGTTGGTTCGTGCCAATTCCTAACATTAATACAAATTACGAGACCTAATAAGACTAATAATGTTCACATATTAAATTGATTTTGATAATGATAACATGAAAAATCGGACTCAAGCTTTTTATTTACTGTTATAATGTTATGCGTCAATTTTAAATTGTTTTCAATTTTCACCAACTGCGAAATAACGAAGGTCAAGTCTTAACGTATTAAATTAATATTACTGTAAAATGTGGAAAATAAGCATTTATGGTGAATAAGAATATATATAGTAAAAGTTGTGTTCTGTAAATCAGCACTCTAATATTTAGAGACTTCCGATGACATCAATTGCCCTAATACTGTAATAGCATTTTACAGCTTAACCCATATATCGCGAGATGATGTGAACAAAATACCCACAGTAAAAGCCTTAAAATTTGACAAATCAGGTGAAACACATTCGCGTCAATACAATTACCCAGGACAAAAAACCACAGAATAATGGAACACCCCATTTTAATTATTAATTTTACAAGAGATGAGCTACTGTATGCTACTTAATGCACTAAAAGCATACTGTACGTAATCCTAAGAACTAGTCAACATACCCTAGGAAAGAAAACACTTTTTATTAGAAAAATGAAAAGCTGGCTACAAAGAAAGAACTGGTCTACAAATGTGCTAAAATCGCACTAAAATAGTGGGCATAGTTTCCGTGCTGGAAGCACAAAAGAATTCTGGAATTGGTGCTACGAGGTGTTTACCTACCGTTAATCCGGAGAATAAGTAGATGGACATCGACTCATTCTTTAAATACATACGAGCACATCCCGCAACCCGCAATAGTAGCATCAAGTTTAAGTAAATGATATTCTGATTAACGATCGACACATAAACTAAGGAAGCCAATCGTAACTTTAAAAAAAAAGGGACTCGTATCCCGCTATCGAACGATTTCAGTGAACTCTGTGCATAGAAATTGATATCTGTATATGACGGATAGCTGTGCACCCAACTCAAAATCTACAAGTAAATTGATGTTAAATTAAAAAAAAAGGAATTTTAAAATTTTACAAATACGAGTACCTTGACAAATGGTGGTATTTTCGTCATTTTTGGAAGTCACGCAGAATCCTACCATTGTCTGCTTTATGCGTATGGGAAACACAGGCTGATGCTACGCATCGCTGATTCAGCTGATGACGGTGATAGGGATGTAGATGTTTCACGTAATTGCAATTTCGAATACATGACATTTAGTTTCTGAAATCAAATTTTCGGCAATTTTTGAGGTTACAGTTCGGATGAGTAGCATAGTCATGGCGCAAAAATTTGTCGGGATGTAATATCCGAGCTGATCGGACCAAAACTTAAGCTCGGAAAAATACTTGATATAACTGATTTAGTTATATTAACCCGTCTTAGGGTTTTCCGACCTTAAGTTTTGGTCCGATAAGCTCGGATATTACATCACCGACAAATTTTTGCGCCACGACTATGCTACTCGTTCGGATCGTACATTCAGATTGTACATTCAAATCAGATGATGCAATTATGCTGGCTGCAATCTTGTAAATCTGGTACGTACTTCATGTATGGCGTGATGAAAATTAGATAAAATTTAATTTTCTGAAACTTGCGTAAAATTACATGTAATGTAAAGTTGTAATATCAGGAACGGAGTGAAACGAAAAGTATGGTATACCCGTTGAAGAAATAGTGTGCGAGTGCAAAATCTTACATTTTATTAGTCAACGTGATCATAACTATCACATTGCCTCAAGTTTTCACATGCAACAGCATCACAATGAATTTTAAATCGTGCTACTGTAATCATATTTAAACAGGTATTTAATCTCTTGCATTGTTAGCAAGATGCATCCAATTGAACGTGCGTTCAATGTTTTTTGATGTCACTGTTACATCGATAATTTTGGTGGACTTGATTAGAACTTTGAAATGCAGTGTCACGTAGTCAGCAAGTATAAAGGAGACATGTTCGTACGTACGTACGTACGTATATACATATTCTCAACATACAAAGATCATGGCTAATACTCCAGAAGAATGGTTTGAAAAGGCTATTTCCGAAGGATACATTAATAATCTTGAATATAATAAATTTACAGATCCTATAATAATTAGCAGCGGAGGCTTCGGAAATGTTTTTAAATACGAATGGAAAGATTGTGGTTTAACAGTTGCTCTTAAATGTCTTAAAATCGATACCAATATAGGGTTAGATGAAAAAATTATTAAAGGTTTTATTAAAGAGGTATTTATTACACAACTAACGTAGTGCACTAACTAAAATACCCCATTGTTCAGTACCCAGTTAAAATACCAGGGCATATTTTTTTAACCAGGATACAGTCAACTTCCTTTAAGTGCATGTTCTCTAAGTGAAAGTTCTCTCTAAATGCAATAAAATAGTCTGGCCCAAGTTGGGACTTATAAAATAAGTACAAGTTCTTATTCTGTAAGTGCAAGATTTCTTTTTGCCAGTATTATTTTCTCTAATTGCAAGATATATTATTAACAAATTAAATTAATTTTATTTAATTACAAGTTTTTTCTAAGAGCAAATTATTTTTTTTTAACTTATTAACTTGCATTTAGGGAGAATTAATTATATATTAAGTTAGTTTTCTTTGCGCTTAGAGAGAGTTGACTGTATTTTGCACGGAATTTTTTACACTACCATATAATGATTTTTGCATCACATTTATATACCAATGCAAAATACCCCAGTAAAATATACTTGTCACGAACAAGATACCCACAACTATTTTGTGCGGATATTTTGTATTAGATTCCGGGTCTTTTAATCAGTGCACTACGGTACTTGCATTATTGTCC